CGTCATGCCCGCACACCAAGGGTTATATCATATCAGCAGTCGAGCGGTTTCACTTTCGTCATGAGCAGAAAGAGGACTCTTTAAAGGCTTCTGTGTGCGCTGTCATTACTGCTGTTTCACTTCTTTATCTCATTGTGCCACTTCCTGTTACACACAGTGGGGTTTGTGTAGCGCTTAATTGATTACAAACTTTTACATAGCAGCTAATATCTCTAACCAAGCAACATGGCCTATGCTTCTTTTAGCATTAATGGTTCTTTTAATAAATGTAGCCTGTAGGGAGGTATGGGGTCTTCACACACCCCCGTTCTCTGCTGGCCATCGGGGCGGGGGGGCTCAGAGGAGGTGTTGGCCATCCGATTGGGATCTGGGATGTGGGCCTCTCTGCTGCTGCGGAGTCGGGGCAGACTGCTTGCCTCCACCCCGGGGGAAAGGGTAACATCTCCTGGGTCTAGGTGCCGTTTCCCCCTCTGGGGGTGAGGGTACCTGGACCCGGGGTATAGAGTATGTTTGGGGAGTGTGATTGTGTGAACATTTGTGTCTATCTTTATGTTGGGTGAGTGTTGAGTATTTGTATATGTGTGCATGAGGGTGGGAATGCATGTTTGTGTCTGTCTATATGTCAGGTCGGGTCTTAGACTCCACCTCTCTGGGAACTCCCAGGCCCTCCAAAGTGTGGAGGCCTATCTCTCCCTGCTGGTGACTGATGCCCTCAGGGGTCGGTGCGTTGGTGGTTCTTGGTGTCCAGGGCTGGACGCTCAGGTATGTACCAGCTCACTCCCGGTGGCTATTTGGTGGGGCCTGGTGCCTGTTGCTCGGTCAGGCCTATTCCGGGGCGTAGGGGGCCCTCGGGCCTCCGGCCTCTGGGCCTGCGGCTCGGCTCACTCTGGCACAGCTGGCGGGCACGCCAGTGCAGCCCCTCTCTGGCTTCTGCTCCGTGGCTACTGGGTGACCCCTTGTCTGGGGCTCTCCTCAGCTCTTCCCAGGAGGGTGGCACGGATGCCCCCCTGGTGCTCCTCCTTGGGCTCTCGCACTCTGGGGCCTCTACATGTCTGGATCTCCTCCATGCCAGCTTCATGCCCTGGGGGCGGGGCTATGGCTCTCTACACCCTCTTGCAGACGATTACATGGGGAAACCTTTTGAATACAAGCGCGCTGATCCACACAGGTGTGCACACAGGTGTTCACTGTTCATAGACATAAACTACACCTTTCTTGGCTGCTACCTCAAAGCACATTGTGCGCTGTCGGTCCTGCGTGCTGCACAACAACATTCAATATTTAGTATTTACTGCAGTTTACACGTAGCTAGATTAACGTGGTGGTGTTGTGTTTAGTATGTTGCTCTGTTTTTTTTGCTTGTTTTCTCTTCTTTTTCTCTCAACAGGTGATCAATATTGAATCGGTGTGCAACTTTGCCAAAACAATGTGGGACTCTGTAGTTTTCTCTGGTCCCCTCCCCAATCAGACCAGGAGTGACATGTTTAGCCGCATGTTCTCCTTAAATTGCTGGCTGTCTGAGTGGTGTCCCAGAAACAATGTGGGCTTCATAGAAAATTTGGAAAGCTTCTGGAGGAAACCTGGTCTTGTTAGGAGAGACGGCATCCATCCCTCTTTGGATGGAGCAGCTCTCATTTCTAGAAATATGGACAAATGTATCAAACCTCTGTCGTGTTCAATATTTTCAGAAGGAATTACAGGAGAAAGTTCTGTCTGTTAAAAAGATTTAATTTGCGTTGGCAGTTGAAATTACAAGTTTCCACAGCTCTGGACGTCTGTGTGAAATCAGGCATTTGGTTCACAAAAAGGATGACCCTCAAACGGGCCGTATAGCTTTATATAGTGAAACAAAAACAAAGATTATCATGGCTTTCTGGCTCCTGCACGGATATGGCAGTCCGGCTGTCTCCCTCCCCGTCCACGTCTGACCTCGTCCGGTATCTGCTCGCTCCTCTGCAAGAGGTAGAAGAGGAAAACACCTCCCGCCTAGCCTTGATAATCTCATTTTATTCTCCATTGTTCTTGTACTGATTCTACGTTCTGGTTCAGAATATCTTGCTCGGACTCTCTAACCCAAAGACTCATTCTAACCATTATCCGTGTGTCAGCGTGTTTGCCACCAACCGCCTGCACTCTGTGTCACTCCTACAATATATCAATCTGGACCGTCACGCCGAACGAAGCTTTCGACCTTCAAAGGAGTGCCAGCTCGTATGAGCACATTTGCAGTGTGTATACAAAAATGATTAAACCAGCTTTATTTATACTGAAAACAAACATTTTCAAATTTTCAACACCTCCCAAAATATGAGTATCCAGAGTTGGGACCAGGAAGCAGAGCTGCAGTCTTACACGCCTCTCTGCAGCTTCTCTCCTCCTGCTACCCCCCCAAAAACCCATCTCCATAGAGACTGTGTCAGCTCCCAAACAGACAAAAACAAACTAAAAACCAGCAACAAACAACTTAAACATAAAAATAAGATAAAATAACATAAGCTCTGTTATTGTAATCATACCAAACACATAATGAAACTGGAAGAACTGCTGAGCTTGTGTGTATAAAGACAAACTAATAGTCACACTACTTGAATGAAATGGCACCGTGAGTGGATCTGTGCAAACTGATGGGATCAAAGTCACAAGGAATGTGTGTTTCGTCTTCTGCCCTGAAGGCAGAGTTGCTGGCTGAACTTCACATATCATCCATGGTTTCTTGTTTGGATAAAACATAGATGTGTTTATCAGCTGTGACGTTGTCCATACATAACTGCAGGTCCTGGATTCTTAGGTATTCTGTACTCTGTGGCACTGAAGCAGTCCTGCAAACGAGTGACTGATCTTTCTGTGCAGGCTTCAACGCTCTTGAGTTTGATCTGATTAGTTTTTGTTTTTTAAATTTAAGTGTTTATTGAAGTTATGCATAAAATAAAACGTACAGTATTTGACGGCTTCCTTTGTTCTAAGACTCATATGTACAGTAGTCTGGATCACTTCAAGTGCTTTTCCTTCACGCAGGTATGAAAAAAAAGAGAAAGAGAAGGAAAAAACAAAACAAACACATGTAGAGACAGATACAGTTTGTAACTATATCCATGCAGAGAGAGGGCAGCTGAAAAGCCAACACACTCAGTAGCAGATGGTGACAGAGCATTAGTACATGTTATTATAAAAAGCAAACAAAAACTGAAACAACCGTTCCTTCGATGATGAATATCAGCGATATCAGGCCTTACAGGACTCACAGAGCAGTTTCCCCAGTGTTTTACAAATTTCTCACACTCAAAGTTCACAAAAAAAGTAATCTTTTCTTATAAATCTCAAACGTTACATCAATCCAGCTGTTTAATGTTGGTGGATCCTGTGTTGGCCATCTTTTGGTCAGTGCCTTTTTACTTGCAGCCAGCTGCACACCAAGTAAGTATTTATCTATACTTCATGCCTGAGGGTTTGTATCCTAAAAATATGGGTTTGAAATCAAAATATGTACCAAATATGTTTTGCATCACTTTGTGGACTCCTCTCCAGTAGTTCTTAATATTCTTACAATCACAAAACATATGGTAGTGGTGTGCTGTTTCGTAGCCACAGTTCCTCCAACATTCACAACTTCCATCATCATAATGTGCCTTTATAGCTGGGCTGATGAAAAACTTTTCCAGCAGAGCTTCCATATGTGTGATTTTGTACTTTTCCAATGAAAAGAACAAATGTTCTGCCATTCCTCTTTCTTCCATCGTTCTTTTATATACTTTGTTGAATAATCGCTGAGATCATGAAGACGATTGTATATTTATGAGATTACACCTTTCTTATAAGCATTTACAAAGAGTTGGATAAGTGGCCTCGCTGTAGTGGCTGTTTGGTTTTTAATGCTTCGAGTATAGAAGTTTCTTAACTGCAAGTATCTATCGTGGTCTTGGTTTTCTAAATGAAACGTTTGCTTTGAAGTTTGGAAACTCATAATTTCATCTTCCTTTACAATACCACACATCGATGTAATTCCTTTATCTCTCCAGTTTTTAAACTGGGTCTATTTGACCTGATTAGGTTGATTCTTCTTCTCAGGGGAGTATAGGCTGGGATGAGGATAAGTGGTGGTCAGATGTTCCCGGCTGTGGGAGGGGGACTCAAGTAGGAATAGACTCCATCCAGTGTGTTTCCTCTGATGGAAAATTGTCTGCGGTCTTACTATTACCTATATCTATATTATCTATATTCGCACCAGTTGTTGTGAATATCGATACACAGTCCACCCCACCTGCTCCAACCCAAGTCTTCATTTTAATCATGGCGGGGAGTTGTGGGGCCCACTAGCTACACTGTAGCATCAGGATAAAACGATGTAGCCAGACCTGTGGGATGATCAGAAGCATGCTGGGCAGTGGTGGTTTGAATGATTGTTTTCTTAGCACACCATTTTTGTCTGCGCTCCACATATTACTTTCATCACTTGCCAAGGCCGACTGCACACCTGGGAGAATCTGGCAGTGTGCGAACGATTAAGATTGGCTCTGTGAACATGTTTTATTGTGTTTCTCCCCCTGCTGGCCCTGCTGCTGTCTTCTTAAAGGATTTTACAGATTTTTTATCTTCTATTATTATTTTGAGAACGTTCTGATTCTTGGGGATTTTTAACATGTTGATGAGGGAAGCATCAAACTCAACAGCTGAACTTTGATCTGTATCTGATTCCTTTTACTTTGTTGAACGTGTTTCTGGACCAAAACATCTGAAAGGCCGTACCTTGGACCTTGTGTTTGTCGAGGGCGTACCTGTACTTAAGTCTAGCTCTAAATAAATGCACTTCATATTAAATCTCACAGAGGCATAATGAATTAAGAATTTTTTGTTGATAAGGTCAAAGAAATCAAGGCCAAGATCTCACCCCAAAGCTTTCTTGTTCTGCTAGCGAGGCAACCCCTTCTCACTCTTGGTCTCATATATATATATATATATATATATATATTATATATATATATATATATATATATATATATATATGTGTATATATAACTACATTTAAAAAAAAAACCATACATGCATAGGTTGTGACCTGGTCTGAAAGTTTCCTGGGCGGAGCGTAGTCATGGATCCATACTTACTGAAGATTATGAAACACAACAGAAGCTGAAATACAGTTTTTACAGTCAATACACAAAAATATGAAGTCCATGACACCTGCTTGCATGCTTGTGTGTACTTCGCAGGAGAGGTAACAACACGTGATCAATGCTGTGAGGACTGCAGGATGATTATTTCTATGCGTGATGGACCTCTACGTTTTATTACCATACAAACAAACCCTTTTCCCCACATTCAGTCTTCAGTTTGTTTCCACAGATTTTAATGGATTTTGCTGTTTCCTGTGTTCTTAGGATGTTTCCTTGGCTTTATACAGCTGTGTTATAAGCCCTTGGTCAAGGATGGGCAAAGGGCTTATAACACAGCTGTATACTCTCTATTCCCAATATTGTGCATTACTCTGAGAAGAACTGGCAGTTTTTCCAACTCTTGTTAATCAGTAAAAAAACAAAAATGCATTACTATGATAAGGTGTTATTTGTTGTGTTTAAAGTGCACGAACTTGACTGATTCATACTCATCATTTACACTCATCCTCCTACAGCTTGCACAGAGACACTGAGGACTGGATGTTAAACATCAGGTTAAAGCCCAGCCTGGAGTCACAGCCAAAGCCTGCATACAAAGGCTCGGTGAAGGTGGTGTTGAAGGTGTGAAGGTGGATCAGACTGTCACAGGAGACTCTGTAGAAGGACACAATGCCGGCAGGATAGTCTACATACACTGCTATTCTCTTAGAGAAAGAAGATGAGGATGAGGATGAGGAAGGGAAGTACATCTCTTTGCCTTGGTTGTTGTGGCAGACAGCGTAGCGGTCAAGAAAGCAGCTCAGACTCCAAGACTGATCATTTCCTCCAAACCTGCTTCGAGGGCTGTTGCCTTTTCTTTTGATTCCTCTGTAACTCACACATATATCCACTAGTCCCCTCCACTCCACCTCCCAGTAACAGCGACCGCTCAGTTCATTTTCACACAGAAGCTGGGGCCAACTGTCGAACCTGTCTGGATGATTCGGATATAACTGAAAGTCTGACGCTGTCACCGTCATGTTGTTGTGGGACAATCTGAGGGCTCGGCTTACTGTGTTTGGGTCTATCTGCAGCTCGCAGGCATCTGATGGAGACAAAGAACACAGCAAATCACATTAACTGGTTTCGTTTCTGTTAACAGTGTGCGGGCAAATATTCCAAGATCTTTAAAAAACATACAGTTGATCATGAACTGTTAATTCATGAACCTGAGTGGCACGGGATCCCACGGAGGTTGTACCGCACCGGGTAAAAATTCAAGTATTCAAGTGACAGCAAACGGTTTGTGAGGTTAGGAGAATGTTCCTCATTATGCTTGGACATCAGGTATTCCACCAGGTTCTGTACTGGGTCCAAAACTACTCATTAGGTATCGATATATCAAAATTAGTTTTATTTGCAGATGGCACAAATAAAAACCTAATGGAGCTGCTGGAGACGGTGGCTTCAGAAATGTGCATCAAAAAAACTGGTGTGCCAGGAACAAAGTACCGTTGAATCAAAACGTCATTGCAGTGTTATTAGGGAGTTCTCAAACACACCCACAAGTGCAGATTCATATGAATGGATCCTTTTCCTGTAACAGGTGTAGGCTGCTGGGGGATTCCCATGATGCACTGGGTGTTTCATCTTCACTCACTGGGGGTGTCCAGATTCACGGGCTGCATCCTCCTGAGGCCGCATTTGTGGGCCGATTGCGTCACAGCAACGTGACGAAGGCTGTCCAAATTGTTGGACTCTTCCGAATGCAGCCGACAAATGCGTCCTCCTTTTCCCCGAATTTGAAGGATGGGTCGGGTGTGTCCTTCGTGGCCCACCATATCCCAGAATCCATAGCGTGGCCCAGCCGATTCAAGTTTCCGACAATGGCGGCTGCTACTAAGTTTTAAAATTACTCTTATTATTCTTTCTGGGTCACAAAATAAACGTTTAACATATTTTCAGGCAGAAAGTAGCTGTGTAAACATCAAATATCTGTTCTGTTTATCAAGATGTCGCATATTTGCAAAAGTGCTCCGAGGTTTTCGGAGACGTCTGTTACCCACCAGCTCGATAGCTAGCTGGGATGGTCAATGGTCACTAGAGCCACCGAGAATGGCAAACCCCCGGCACATCATTTTCAGATCACCGCGGTCTTTGGCTACTCAGGTTAAGCATGATATATGAGTCACTTAGATAACTTAAACATGTTATTGTTTGGCTTTTTTCAGTGTTTCTTTTGTTTGTGAGTAAATCGGTTTGGCTGAGATCAAAGTTATGGTTTCCACACAGCTGAACATCAAACAGAAAACTGATTAAACAGACGTGTGAGATGGTCGAGAGTTTCCTCCAGTGTCCTGTTATATTTTAGCTAGCAAGGAGCAGACGGCCGAGTTTATTAACTCCACCCAGACAGCGGTGACGCTAATCTGAAGGCTAGACCGTCACATTTCACAGCTGTTTACTTCCGGCGTACCCGACCTCCTGAGGACCCGGCCCACGTAGACCGCAAAGGCCGGGTCCTCAGGAGGATGGAGCCCATGAATCTGGACACGACCACTATGTGTTAACAGACCTCTCTGCACTGAATCATATCTGTTATTAACCTCTGTCTCTCTTCCACAGCATGTCTTCATCCTGTCTTCCTTCTCTCACACCAACCAATCACAGCAGATGGCCCCGCCCCTCCCTGAGCCTGGTTCTGCTGGAGGTTTCTTCCTGTTAAAAGGGAGTTTTTCCTTCCCACTGTCGCCAAAGTGCTGCTCACAGGGCACTCTGTGATAGTTGGGTTTTCTCTGTTTTCTTTGTATTATTGTAGGGTTTTTTTTAACATTACAGTATAAAGCACCTTGGGCATTTCCTGGTAGATAAATAAAATTGAATTCAATTGTTTTTTATATTTTTTCTGTGACATGTCAGAATAAGCTGAGTAAAATCACTTACACTTCTTTAAGCCCGGTTTCAGCCTCTGCTCTCCACCATGGTCCAATCTGCATAACAAAACAGCCATTTACGGATGCAGTTATGAACTGCTTCACACTTTAATCATTTGAAATGATTCAGGCTGGGAATCATAGAATAGCTCACAAAATAATGCTATCACAACATGCAATCGTGTAACTGAAAATGAAAATTTACCATCAAATGCAAAACGCATCATTATGCAGTGTAATGTTCCATGTTTGTCAGATTCATTGACTGCATTGTCTACTTGATGATAACATATCAGAACTCTTGGTTTCAATTTCAAGTTATTTATATATCACTCTTCACAGGATAGAAACCACAAAGTGCTTCACAGTGATATAAAAACAGATATACATAAAACAGCACCATCAAACGTTCATTATCTCATCACCGGGTTTTTAGTGCATGCTGGGTAACATGTGGGCAGGCTGCTGTTCTTGGGAACCTTTTTCCTCTTTCTTTCTCTCTAAAGACTGTCTCTGGGTTTCAAAGGGGAGAAGTAAACTCTCCACACCCACCACCAGACTGTTAAATGGAGAAACCTTTTGAATGCAAGCGCAATGACGCACACAGGTGTGCACACAGGTGTTCAGACACACTATCTTCCTTGGCTGCTGCCTCTAAGCATACCATGCGTGGTTGGTCTTGTGTGCTGGTCAGTAACATTCAATAGTTATTAGTTATTGTTACTTATACTTATCTAGATGTTGCTGTGGTCTCCCTGTTGTGTTGTTCTCTTCTTGCTTGTTTTCTTTTTTTCTTCCAGCTGATTTTTAGTCTTTTCTCTCTGCCCCTCTTCCTCTCGCCTTTTCTCGAACTTGCCTTGCATCTTTCCTTTTCCTATTATCCCCCATCATGTCTGTTCCGATTGTAATAACTAAATAACTAAACAACGAACTAAAAAAATAATAATATAATTAACCAATAATAATAAAGATCAATCACGTAGACCAGTATGGCGAAGCTGCAATGATCCACTTGGAAACATAAATCCGCTGGGCAATAATAATTCTGATTGCTGCCAAACGAGACAGGCACGAAGTACAAGTAATTTATTGTACCCAAGTACAATTTTCAGCTATCTGTTCTTTACTTGTTTGTTCATAAACCTGCTGCTAAACAAACTGGAGGTCAGAAGCAGGTCATGTGATCACAGCCTGTACAGTAAGAAAATCTACTCCAGCTCTATTTTCGCTGAACCTTGCAGCTGATTTTAGGTTCCTGCTGAATCCACTTTGACCCCTGACTGTGCGCATTTTCCTGTCAATATATAAAATAAAGATTGTTTTTCCTTCTTTAAACTAAAGTCAGACTAAAGTTTGTATTCCCCTCAACTAATATTACTTTATCTTTATGTTAACACTACACAGGGTTCAGTGAGCTTTGCACAAGAAAACAGAAATGTCCTCTAAAGACACTACTCTTCATTTCTCAGTCTGAGTACATTTTTACTTTTACTAGATGAAAGTAAAAATCAGTGTTTCCAGTTCTCCAAGCACTAAGGAAAGGAGTTTCAATGCTACCTTACTTGCTTCCTTTAGCAGAGGATACGCTGGTCCATCCTTTGCAATGGGCCATCTGACCATTCATGAAAGAAACAATTTAAAAGAGTGGCGCAGCTCGTATGTATATTAACTGTAGTTGGATGTCCATGCCATAACTTGATGAAAATTTTTGAATTTTGTTAAACTCACAGCTGAACATCACACTGCTGGAATAAAAATTACTTTTCTTTGAGCTGTTGCTGCATGAAGAACAAAGTTCTCCAGATTATATTAACTGATAAACGTTTACGCTTCTGTGGGGTCAGTTTGCATTGTTAATGTCTTTTGCAGTATTGCAGCCTTTAAGATTATCACAGATTCATGTTTACTTCGGGTTGGCTGGGATAAACGTGGAATAGAGCAAATTTCACTGCAGTCACAGGAATCGTTCTACGGGATGACAGCAGCTAATTATAAGAAAACAAGACGCATTTAATTTTATTGGCTGCGGCAGATTTATTAAGCAGGGCAAATTATTGTGATGCCACAGGTGATCTACTAACTTTCTCCTGAATTTCTCCGCAATTTAATGGCTCATAAATCCACAAACCAGAACAGGGAGAGTGTTGGGCCCATTAATCAAAAGAATAACTCAGGTTGTACACATGTGTTTCTCTCAAAAACAGTGCAGCAATTTAGATAAATGAGAGGAAGCCGAAGGAGAGTCAGCACGCTTTTAAGCAAGTTCTTCTGGCAGAACTCTCCGGGCATGTGCAGAGGGTCCTGAGGACTGAGACTCAGGTGGAGCTCAGAGATTATTCAGAGGAGAGCTGCATTAGTGCAAACTCTGTGTCAAACAGCTGACCTGCATGATGTGCAGAAGAAGAAAAGACTGCAGTCCCGTTACTGTTATGGTACCACAATTGTAAATGCGCAGATTGCTGTTCGGACTTGGCCAGGACTTGCATATTGCAATATTAAATCTAACACAGTAACATGAATTCATTAATAGCAGCTTTGTCACTGACATTTGTTATACTAGGGACCTTTGGCATCCAACGTATGTAAAGATTACATCAGGACACGTCTGCTTCTCGTTCTTTCCGAGCATACCTGAGAGTGTCCAGTCTCCAGTTTGGATCATTCAGTCGAGCAGACAGCACATCTGCTGCCGTGTCACCTGGATGATTGTAGCTCAGGTCCAGCTCTCTCATATGTGAAGGGTTGGTGCTCAGAGCCGAGGCCAGAGAAGCACAGCCTTCCTCTGTGACCATGCAGCCTGACAGCCTGAAAATCATGAATAACATTTCATTTTTAAGCTGAAGAATTAAAAAAAATGTATTATCAAAAATCTGCAAAGAATACTATGTTTTGTTTTTTAATGATAATGACTAACTTGAGAATCTCAAGTACACAGTGTGGACTCCGCAGTCCAGTGGACAGTAATGTCACTCCTGAATCCTGAAGATCGTTGTTACTCATATCCAGCTCTCTCAAACTAGAGGACTGGCAGCTGAGAGCTGAAGACAAAGCTTCACAGCTTCTCCATGACAGCTTGCAGCCACTCAGCCTGATGACAAACAGACAAAACTTAAACACTTAAAACATGCAAAGAATTTCTGCTTTTGTGACCACAAGTCACACTGCTTCATTTTAAAATAGTCCGACTAGGAGTAGCTGCATATGCATTTTTAAGAAATGGATATCTGCACTGTTGATGGTTCAATACACAAATCCAGCCTCACTGGGTCACAAGCTCGCACACTCATAGTGTTACTCTGTTCCCAAATGGGAACGTTCAATCTGGAAGAACCTTCAATATAAAATCTGTGCCAAATCAAACATGTAGGTCTGACCCACATATCTCCAACCTTCCTTTATATCAAACATCCTTGAAAGAGTAGTTGTCAAACAGCTAACAGATCATCTGCAGAGGTTTATTTGAAGAGTTTCAGTCAGGTTTCAGAGCTCATCACAGCACAGAAACAGCTTTAGTGAAGGTTACAAATGATCTTCTTATGGCCTCTGACAGTGGACTCATCTCTGTGCTTGTCCTGCTAGACCTCAGTGCAGCGTTCGATACTGTCGACCATAATATCCTATTAGAGCGATTAGAACATGCTGTAGGTATTACAGGTACTGCGCTGCAGTGGTTTGTATCATATCTATCTAATAGACTCCAGTTTGTGCATGTAAATGGAGAGTCCTCTTCACACACTGAGGTTAATTATGGAGTTCCACAGGGTTCAGTGCTAGGACCAATTCTGTTTACATTATACATGCTTCCCTTAGGCAGCATCATTAGAAGACATAGCATACATTTAGAGACCTGGATGGCTGCTAACTTTCTGCTTCTTAATTCAGATCAAACTGAGGTTATTGTACTCGGCCCTGAAAAGCTTAGAAATATGGTCTCTAAGCAGATTCTTACTCTGGATGGCATTACCTTGGCCTCCAGTAACACTGTGAGGAACCCTGGAGTCATTTTTGACCAGGACATGTCCTTCAACGCACATATTAAACAAATATGTAAGACTGCGTTCTTCCATTTGTGCAACATCTCTAAAGTTAGAAATATCCTGTCTCAGAGTGACGCTGAAAAACTAGTTCATGCATTTATTACTTCCAGGCTGGACGACTGTAATTCATTATTATCAGGAAGTCCTAAAAACTCCCTGAAAAGCCTTCAGCTGATCCAAAATGCTGCAGCAAGAGTCCTGACAGGGACTAGAAAGAGAGAGCAGATTTCTCCTGTTTTGGCTTCCTGTTAAATCCAGAACTGAATTCAAAATCTTTAAAATGTTAAAGATTCCCATGATTCAGTGAGTGTTTCTTCTTGACTCACTATGTGTTAATAGACCTCTGGGGATCGTGGCTCAGAGTTGGGAGTTCGCCTTGTAATTGGAAGGTTGCCGGTTCGAGCCCCGGCTTGGACAGTCTCGTCGTTGTGTCCTTGGGCAAGACACTTCATCCGTTGCCTACTGGTGGTGGTCAGAGTGTCCGTCAGCCTCGCCTTTGTCAGTGCGCCCCAGGGTGGCTGTGCCATCACGTGAGGGTGGATGACTGGATGTGTAAAGCGCTATACAAATACAGGCCATTTACTCTCTGCACTGAATCGTACTTGTTATTAATCTCTGGCTCTCTTCCACAGCATGTGTTCATCATCTTACTTTATGTGAGCGAACACCCACTGTAGGTTTTCAGCAAGCTATAAAACTGACATATTCTGTATTTACAGCAGCGCAAAGATACCAAAAGCATGATGATAGAGAGGCAGAAACATATCTGTAGGCCTTTTTGTTATTGGACTAGTAAATAACATCATCTTGCTTGCTGTGACTTATAATGTCAACTCTGTAAGGCCTGTAAGCTGATTTGTTTGGGAGAAGTAACATTATATTTGGTTTCGTGGGTGACTCACTTATCCATGAACTTACAGAAGTTTTCTAGAGGTTCTGATCACTGGCAGCAGCCTCAGAAGAGCCTCCTCCGAAGCACAGTATTTCTGCAGGTCAAACACATCCAGATCTTTTTCTGAGGACAGTAAGATGAAGAGAAGTGTCGACCACTGAGTGGGAGACAGTTTATCTTTGCAGAGACTTCCTGAGCTCAGGTATCGTTGGATCTCCTCCACCAGAGAACGATCGTTCAGTTCATTCAGGCAGTGGAACAGGAGGATGCATTGTTCTGGACCAGGATTCTTCCTGATCCTCTTCTTCACATACAGGATTGCTTTTTGATTGTTATGTGAGCTACTTCTAGTTTGTGTCAGCAGGTCTTGTAGGAGAATCTGATTGGTCTGCAGTGACAGACCGAGGAGAAAGCGAGCAAACAAATCCAGGTGACCGTTTGGGCTCTTTAACGCTGTCTTGACTGCATTTTTTTGGATATTCAGAGCCGTAGAAGAGTTTGATTTACTGAAACACGTGAACAGACTTTGCACGGTGAGTCGGGGGACAGGCATCACATTTCTGTTGTGGCTGAACAGTGATATGGTCACGTAAACTGCAGCTAGAAACTGATGAATGCTTTGGTGAGTAAAGCTGAAGATATTCTTCTGGGCCTGTTCCTTCCTTTGTCCACAAACCTGCTTGAAGATCTTTGTGAACAGTCCTGCGTACTTTGACGCTGCTCTGACATGAATGCCACTGCAGCGCAGCTCCTCCTCAGTAAAGATGGCGTTTCCTCTCAGCAGCTGGTGAAAAGCCAGTTCAGCCAATGACATAATGTACCGAATGCACTTTTCTGGGACATGCTTCTGCTTTGTGTGGTTAATCTCAACCATCAGGAAGTGGATGTACATCTCAGTCAGGGTGTTGGGCAGCTCTCGTCCCTCGCTGGTTTTCAGCACATCCTCCAGAACTGCAGCTGTGATCCAGCAGAAGACTGGGATGTGGCACATGATGTGTAGTCCTTGGGATGTGTTGATGTGGGCCACCATCCTGTTGGCCTGCTCCGCATCTTGGAATCTTTTTCTGAAGTAGTCCTCCTTCTGAGGGTCAGTGAACCCTCTGACCTCCGTCACTCTGTGAACGTACTGAGGGGGAATTCGATTGGCTGCTGCAGGTCGTGTGGTTATCCAGAGGCGAGCAGAGGGAAGCAGTTTGCCCCTGATGAGGTTGGTCAGAAGCACTTCTACTCCGGCTGACTTTGTCACGTCAGTAGACTTCTCTGTTTTTCCTGTGAAGTCGAGCTGAAGGCGGCTTTGATCCAGTCCATCAAACACAAACAGAAGTCTGAACTCACTTGTGTCTCTGGAGTTCTGTGAACTTGTGAAAATGTCATTTAAAGTCTCTTCTTTGATACCACTGGCTGAAAAATATGGGATACATGTATGGATGAGCTCTGCCAGGCTAAATGTTTCTCCTTGCCATAAACCCATCTGCTGACAGTCAAAGGGGAAGATCAGATGTAAGTCTTGATTGGTTCTTTTTTCAGCCCAGTCCAACAAAAACTTCTTAACAAGGGATGATTTGCCAATTCCTGCTATCCCACTGGTCAGCACTGTCCTCACAGCCGTGCCCTCACTAGAAAACAGTTGGAAGAGGTCACTGGGTTTAACCGCCCTCTCTGACTCGAGGTCAGCCAGTCTGACCTCTTGTTGTGAGTCTGTGGTCCGTCTCTCTGTAATAAACAGCTCTGGGGTCACGTCATACAAACGTTCCTCATTCTGCTTCTCGAGGGCCTCCTGAGCACACCTGAAGATGTTCTGGAGCTCAGACTGCAGCGCGACTCGGTACGATGTTTCAGGTTGTGGAGGCGGAGCTGCTGGCATGCATCTCACATCTGTGGGGAGCAAAGACACACCCATGAAAAGTCTGCTGTGGGAAATACCAACACAACAACCTGTTTGTGCGCATGCAGCCTCCTACAGTTTACAGTCATCCTTTAAACTTTGTTAAGCGTAGCTTTTTACTTCTTTGTTTGCGTTATTTAGTTATATTTTGTAACTTTGTAATAAATAGTATTGTTTATTTAGCTCAGTTAGCTACTCTTCTTACTGTCTCAGAGCAACGGAGACCCCATGATTTCCTCTTGGGCTCATTAAAGAGTTCTGATTCAGATATTTCCCTGTAACAGCATCATCTCTGTGGTGAGATGGGAGTCTGAGCTGAAAGATACTCTAGAACGAGTCTCCTGAAGACGGGTTGGACTCTGTGAGAGCTGCAGGGCACAGCTTGCTGTCTGTATGCTGTCTCCCCCCTGATGGTTCAGAGGGTTGTTTCATATTGTAAAGATCTCACAGTACTATACTGTACCAACAGGGCACTTCTCCCTCAGACTGCAGTCTCTCTGGTTCCAGAGTCTTCAGCTTTCCAAACCTGAAGCTCCTCTTCTGGTTCCACAGCACATAGTTGGGGCTGGATCAGGTGACCCTGAATCCTCTCTTAGTTATGCTGCAATAGCTCTAGACTAAGTATGTAGGTGTGTGTGAGTGTATGAGATATTTTAATGTGGAGTTCAGTTTGCCTCAACTGCTTCAGAAGCCGTGTCAGCTGACTGACCTGCTTCCATGACTCACCTTCAGGTCCTAAGTCAGTGCTGGATAAACTTTCCACCTGATCCTTTGTTTCCATCTCCTTAAAATCTTTGAGCTCGCTGTCTCCCAGCTCCTCCAGCGCTTCCACCAACTCTGTTGGTGTTGCCATCCTTGGTCCTGTCAGGAATCAGGAGATGTCTGTTTGTCTTCACATGTAACACATCTGTACATTTGGATCAATGAGAATAAAATAAACCCATGCGTTAGACACAGCCCACTTCAGACGGCTTTTACTTTACGGCTTTACGGTTTTTAAACTAGACTGTTCAGTGTAATAATGAACAATCCTTCCAAACCACTCGTGTGTCTCACATGTGGTTTTAGTGTCAGTTTCACAGAAGAAATGAAAAGTTTCACCTCTGTCGACGTCTTCTTCAGACGCTTAGTAATCCAGACAGATCAATGCCACATTGCATCAAATCGTTTGCATTCATTTGTTGCCAGTTGAACATCAGTTTAATAAGTTCTTTGAAGCAGTCGCAAAATCAGAACTTTCATTACCTGCCCGTGTTTCTGGTTTATATCGAGGATATGATGAAATAGACTATTGCACCTGAGAAATAACCTGAGGCAGCTGCGTGGGAGTCATGATAATAACAGGAAAGGTTCTTCCTTCATTACCTCCTTTAGTAAGGATACACTGCTGCCCCAATGTTGTGACACAATTTGATATTTCATCATTTGTACAAAATTTTTTTTAACATAACAGACAAAGTGATGTTAATCATATAAATGTTCAATAACAATGTTACGCTGTGCAGCAGGCAGGACGTAGGACCCAAATGCAGGACTCGAGCACGCAAAGGTCTCTTAAAGCTGCAGCTTTATTTGCTGCGAACACTTGAATGCAGGATATAAGAAACAAAACATAATGACCGAGAGCTGGGAAACCAGGAACTCAAGAGAACAGAAACTAGAAAACAAAGAAACTAGAAAACTAGGAACTGACGAGAAAACAAACAGACCGACAGCATGGAGGGAACATCCAGCACAGAGGGAACAGCTGGAAACACAGCTGGGACTAATCAGAGCCGGTTAATGAGATGGTGGGAAAGCAAAACACTGAACACAGGAAACAAGATCATCAAAGTAAAACAGGAAACACAAGAGACACCCACAAAGACACAGAATGACACTTACTGAGGAGACACAGGAAACACAGAGGAAAGGAGGAGCACAAAACAGAAACCAGGAGACTAAAACTGATAAAGAACAACACAGAAGCACTGGGTAAGCAACCCAGGACCAGGACACAAACACTGTGTTTCATGCTGTGACCTGTTGTTGAGTCACTGAATGTGAACATCGCTGTAAGAAATGACAGTAACCTGTAAGGTCTCCAAACCCAAATGATCTTAAATCAAAGGGAGTCTAAGCTTCTTTACAATTCAGTCTGCATCAGTCAGTTGTTGGAATTAATTGAAATGTTGATTTGAACCACAGCCAGCATCCAGCCACAGGCAGCTCATTCACAAGGAGACAACATAGAGCACACACCGAAACCCAGACTAAGACACATGAAACAGGACACAGGGATGATTACGAGAAGTGACAGACACAGGGCAAAGATGTCATTACAATAACTACAATAAGTGCACCTGTTATAAGTATAATAAGTATTAAATACATACACAAGAGAAGACAGGCAAACCAGACAGACATGGTGGCGTGGCTGGGGAGATAGAGAGGATAACAAAACATGAACGCAGGACACAGGACTGAGCCCAGAAGCTGAGGACGTCCCACAGAGATGAGACTGGGAACACACTGCAAATGTAAGGGAACTAAGGCAGCGGTCCCCAAGCCCCGGGCCTCGGACTCGTACCGGTCCGTGAGTCGTTTGGTACGGGGCCGCGAGAGTTGAGGCTCAGCACTGCTGCTGAGCACTGCTGCGCTGTTTCCTGCTTATTACACAGAAACTGCCACATGTAACTGAGTGGTAATAACATTCACTGTGCGTTTACACATCCCTCTGCGTTTGGTTGGGGTTATTGTAGGATTTTACAATAAAACGTGAGCAGAGGTGACTGTTGTTGTGATTTAAAACTGAATTGTGTAGATTTTTAACACCACTCCTTTATATAATATGCACGAATCACCAATGTAAGACTGCACTGAGGCGACATAACATGTGAATTTGTAGTCCATGTTGTTGAATTTCAATCCTGTCACACAGTCTAACATCAGAACAGTCAGACTCTCTGGCACACCCTTCCTTCATCTCATGACATTTTCTACCAAAGTCAAAGAAAAGTGTTTAAGAGGAGGTATGATTATTTGGATCTCACATGTCAGTGCTGAGGTCTTCCCGGTGTTGCATTCTACTGAGAGCAACTTTATACCTACATAAGAACAAAAACATCTCTTGGCCTGCAGATAATGACACGCAGCTCTGTGTTAGACAGTGAGTGTTAGTCACTCTGTGTCCACAGCACTGCAGCAAAAAACCTGACAGGCACTGATACACGTGGAAACGACCAGGCAGGTATACTCATCATATATGATGTTGTAATTGATATTAGTTGTTGTGCTGCTGGTTTATTGTGTTCTTACCTCCGTGCACGTGTTACACAGTGTGCCTGATGTGCATTAATGTTTCTCTAATGTAAAGACGTCGTAATGTTTAAAAATGATTTATGTTTGCAGATGACAGTAATATATTTTATGTTGACAGACCATTAATCAGTAACCGCTTTGATAAATACTTGACTGCTGAATCTGACCAGACCTGCCTTAGAATACTGTTCAGCCTTTTTAGGTCTACTGCAGACACAAAGCTATTTTTAAAACGCATGCAGTCATACTTCCTGAAAATAGTCGGAACATCTCTGTCCATTTGATAAAAACTGTTACATTTTTTGTCAACGTTCGCTCCAATGTTACTCCAGTGTAATAATACATCTACACCTGTGGCACACCCCAGGGATCCCTTTGAAGTCCCAAATTGTTGCTCATTCACATGAAATAACTCCGCGTCGCACAACAGCTTGCATGAGTGGTTTCCTGTACACTGTGGTTTTCACAGCGAGCCTGCACTGCAGCAGTTTACTGTGTGATTGAAGATTTTGTGAGAGAAAGAAAGAAAGACGTTCTTTTATCAGCTGACACTTTCATTACACTGAACGGCTTCATAAAAAAGAAAGAAAGAAACACGCAACTTCCAGGAAGCAGCAACAGCTTCCCTACTGACTGCAGATTTCACACCCATGTTGAATCCAAGGTCACTTCAGTTGGATTCAGGTTTAGAAACATCTGTAGCTCCAGTTTTATTGTTAAAAGAAATGTGAAAAAGACTTTACCTGTTTATTCGCTGGAAGTCTGGACTGATGCTCGCTGCTCTGTGAGGGGTACTTAGTTTCAGGAAGTTAACAGATGAAGTGGTTTGGTGTAACCACATCCTCTTACTGCAGCTTAAACTGCAGCCTGAGTCATCGTGGGAATTTTTATTATAGATAATAAAAATGAACATTAATAAATCTTTGACTGCACAGACAGCAGGTACCTACTAACCGAAGGGTTGGCGATTCGATCCCAGTCTGCTCCAGTCTGCATGCCACATATCCAAGATATGAACCCCATGTTGCTCTGTGACGCATCCATCGGCGTGTGAACGTGTGTGAATGTTGGATTGGAACCATCTAGAAACAGCATTGATGGAAGTGCGTGTGTGAATGGGTGAATGTACAAGTTGTGTAAAGTGCTTTGAGTGTTGAGAGTAGAAAAGCGTTATAGAAGAACCAGTCTGTTTACCACTTTGCACCAAAGTGCTGCATGGGATTTTGCCATTTTGTGTTTTTCACTGCAAATTAATTCAAACATATATCATAATATTAATGCACATCTACCTCTGACAACAGTTAACACGCAGCCAATGGGAAGCGCAGCTCAGGCTATGGAGGTTGTGCTGCTGACATCTTCACATCTGCAGAGAACAAAGATCAATCCATGGAGAGTCCACCTGAGGAGGGTGCTCAAGGTTTCCATACCTGCTAATCATTCTTTAGGCTCTCAAGACTGAAAGGCCTGAAATCAGACAGAACCACTTCTGAGTTTTAACCTTTATTTCTATACAGAAGCTCACTGTTTGATCTTTGATCAGTGTGAAACTGTGCTGCCACGATATATCAGCAGAGCCGAACAGCTGAAAGCAAACCGTGTCGTGTCAAAAAGAATAAAATAAAAAGGTCATCGGCCTTCATTAATCATCTTTAATGTTTCTTATTCTGACATTTGTTAAAGGTTGTGTGTCTTTAGCCTTCATGCAAAGTGTTTAGATCAGACTTTTTTGTAACTTTTTCAAGATCCACCTGTGCTTGGTTAAACCATACCCTTATTAATCATATATATATATACATTAGGGGTGCAACGATACACAAAATTCACGGTTCGGTTCGGTTCGATACTTTGGTGTCACGGTTCGATATTTTTTCGATACAAAAAAAATGTTCATGCATTTTTAATTTGTCATTTATTAAAATTATAAATATATATTTTAACTCAAAAGTACAGTTTTTAAATTTAACCCTAACCCTTGTGCGTGTTTTTTATTTTGACAGCGAATGTGCACCTGCGGACCACTTATGTGCAGCCCTGGTTATTTAGCTCGTCATATTGCAGCCACAGAAATTCTTTTGTCCATGAAACCATAAAGCTGCACTTTCTTTTTGCCTTATAGTCTGATTTGTCATAACTTCTCCGTTTTGTGGTAAGCTTTTCTTTGGCTGTCACTTCTTCACCCTGACCGGTCTTATTTGGCTCAGCAGAACTAAAATATATATCCTGCTGCTTTTACACACGCACTCACATAAGCTCAGCGATTCTCTGCGCGATCAACCTCTCACATGTTTAAGCTGCGGGAGATTTCACTTGTCATGTTTGCATAGTAAGCTAACGATTAATAAGACGATGTCAGAGGAATTGGTGCACAAATTATCATCACTCACAGATCAGTGCTGTCGCTCTCTATACACAGTTCGCACGATTGCAAAGTGAAAGCAAAAAACAAGCGCAAATTCAAACGCGACTTCAATATGTCACATATTGACAGTGGCTCACCGATGCCAATGACATAATTACCCAGCTACATTTCTGAAAGAATGCAAAAGCATTGACATATATTTTTCCTACAATAGCCCGACGGGCAGGGCAGAGATAGATTTTGGTAGCCCGACTGAAAAAAAATCGCTAGCTCCAGGACGTCGGGCTAGCGATTTTGCAAGCCCTGTATCTGATTGAGGAATCACTCATCTTTGGAAAAGAGAGTTTATTACAGAGAAATGGCTCTTTCCAAAATAAAAGCTATACTATCCGCTTCTTCTGGGCTATATTCTCAGCAGCATAAGGAGAATCACGTGCTAACAGCTGTCTAAATGACTCGGCTAAAGTTAGTAGCATGCTTGTTGTTTTTGTCTTTGCACTAGGATGATGTCGGAGTAAATGTGCAGTCATATTCGTTGTGTTCCCACTAGTGCTTTCAGGTTAATCTCGTTGAAATGACCTTAACGCCACAACACGGCAAATCTCCGTTAACGAGCTACCGCCGATCGCCCCGTGCATGGGGCTAGACGGCCAACACCTTAACGAGCTAACTGCGCTAACACACTAGTTCCCACCCATGTAATTGAGCATTGCATGGCACATCCAACATACTGTTTTACTTTAGTCCATGACTCGCTTACCTTCAGGGTCATACGTCACATGAAAACCAAAATAATTCCAAACGCCAGATCTGAATGAGGGTGGGGGAGGTATATGTTGTAAGGAGAGCTTAACTTCTGTCTCGCTAGCTTGCCCTGCGCTCTTCCTTCTGACGATGCTGTCTGTGTGGAGCGCTCAGTGAATCTGTGTTCGACTACTCCGCCTAGGCTGCACTGTCGACCCTAGGCGGAGTAGTCGAACACAGATTCACTGAGCGCTCCACACAGACAGCATCGTCAGAAGGAAAGTTGATAAAATAAATTACAAATTTTGTATTGTTCGATACATATGCGTACCGAACCGAGAGCACTGTATCGAACAGTTCAATATCGATACGAATATCGTTGCACCCCTAATATACATATATACATGGTTCGATATTTTTTCGATACAAAAAAAATGTTCATGCTCCTCCTTGAATCGCTACCTTATCGTGGTGGAGGGGTTTGTGTGTCCCAGGGATCCCAGGGGCTATGTTGTCTGGGGGCTTTTGCCCCCTGGTAGGGTCTCCCATGGCAAACTGGTCCTGGGTGAGGGACCAGACAAAGAGCGATTCAGAAGACCCCCATGAAAAGAATATCGAGGGAACAGTTTACCCTGCCCGGGATAGGGTTACCGGGGCCCCGCCCTGGAGCCAGGCCCGGGAGGGTGCCCGAGGGCGAGCGTCTGGTGGCCGGGCCTTAGTCCATGGGGCCCGGCCGGGCACAGCCCGAAGAGGAGACATGGGCCCATCCTCCCGCAGGCCCACCACCCGCAGGAGGCGCCATAGGGGTCGGGTGCATTGTGAGCCGGGTGGCGGCCAGGAGCGGAGGCCCTGGCGGACCGACCCCCGGCTGCCAAGACTGGCAATAGGGACATGGAATGTCACCTCTCTGGTGGGGAAGGAGCCTGAGTTGGTGCGTGAGGTTGAGAGGTACCGGCTAGATATAGTTGGGCTCACCTCTACGCATTGTATGGGCTCTGGAACCAGTCTCCTGGAGAGGGGCTGGACTCTGTCTCAGTCTGGAGTTGCCCCTGGTGAGAGGCGGCGGGCTGGGGTGGGTATTCTTATATCCCCTCGGCTTGCTGCCGGTACGTTGGGGTTTTTCCCGGTGGACGAGAGGGTTTGTTCCCTGCGCCTTAGGGTCGGGGAACGGGTCCTGACTGTCATCTGCGCTTATGCGCCGAGTGGCAGTTCGGAGTACCCAGCCTTCTTAGAGTCCCTGGGGGGGGTGCTGGAAGGTGCTCCACCTGGAGACTCTGTTGTCCTGCTGGGAGACTTCAATGCTCACGTGGGTAACGACAGCGAGACCTGGAGGGGCGTGATTGGGAGGAACGGCCTCCCTGATCTGAACCCGAGCGGTGCTTTGTTATTGGACTTCTGTGCTAATCACAGTTTGGCCATAACGAACACCCTGTTCGAACATAAGAGTGTCCATAAGTGCACGTGGCACCAGGATGCTCTAGGCCGTAGGTCGATGATCGATTTTGTAATCGTATCACCAGACCTGCGACCATATGTTCTGGACACTCGGGTAAAGAGAGGGGCTGAGCTGTCAACTGATCACCACCTGGTGGTGAGTTGGATCAGGTGGCGGGGGAGGACGCTGGACAGACCTGGTGCACCTAAACGCGTAGTGAGGGTGTGCTGGGAACGTCTAGCAGAGGCCCCAGTCCGCGAGATCTTCAACGCACACCTCCGGCAGAGCTTCAACAGCATTCCGAGGGAGACTGGGGACATTGAGTCCGAATGGACCATGTTCAGCGTCTCCATTGCCGACGCTGCTGCATTGAGCTGCGGCCGCAAGGTGGTTGGTGCCTGCCGTGGTGGTAATCCCCGAACCAAATGGTGGACACCAGAGGTGAAGGGAGCCACCAGGCTGAAGAAGGAGGCCTATCGGGCTTGGTTAGCCTGTGGGACTCCGGAGGCAGCCGACAGGTATCGACAGGCCAAGCGGAATGCGGCTCGGGCAGTGGCTGAAGCAAAAACTCGGGTGTGGGAGGAGTTCGGAGAGGCCATGGAAAAAGACTTTCGGACTGCCTCGAAGAGATTCTGGCAAACCGTCAGGCGTCTCAGGAGGGGAAAGCGGTGCTCTACCTGCACTGTGTATAGTGCTGGCGGAGCGCTGTTGACGTCGACTGAGAAAATTGTCGGGCGGTGGAAGGAATACTTCGAGGACCTCCTTAATCCCACTGACACGTCTTCCGGGGAGGAAGCAGAGTCTGGGGATGAGGGGTGTGACCCACCGATTTCCGGGGGCGAGGTCACTGAGGCAGTTAAACAACTCCTTGGTGGCAGAGCCCCTGGTGTCGATGAGGTCCGCCCCGAGTTCCTGAAGGCTCTGGACGTTGTAGGGCTGTCTTGGTTGACACGTCTCTGCAATGTTGCGTGGAGATCAGGGGCAGTACCTGTGGACTGGCAGACCGGGGTGGTGGTCCCCATCTTCAAGAAGGGGGACCGGAGGGTGTGTTCCAACTACAGGGGGATCACACTCCTCAGCCTCCCCGGGAAAGTCTATGCCAGGGTGCTGGAGAGGAGGGTTCGTCCGCTAGTCGAACCTCGGATACAGGAGGAACAATGCGGTTTTCGTCCTGGTCGCGGAACACTGGACCAGCTCTTTGTCCTCTCGAGGATACTTGAGGGTGCATGGGAGTTTGCCCAACCAGTCTACATGTGTTTTGTGGACCTGGAGAAGGCATTCGACCGTGTCCCTCGGGGCGTCCTGTGGGAGGTGTTGCGCGAGTATGGGGTGTCTGGCCCATTGCTACGGGCCATTCAATCCCTATACAACCGTTGCAAGAGCTTGGTTCGCATTGCCGGCAATAAGTCGGACTCGTTCCCGGTGGGTGATGGGCTCCGCCAAGGCTGCCCTTTGTCTCCGGTTCTGTTCATAATTTTTATGGACAGGATTTCTAGGCGCAGCCAAGTGGCGGAGGGCTTTCGCTTTGGTGGCCTCAGAATCTCATCTCTGATTTTTGCGGATGATGTGGTTCTGTTGGCTTCATCGGGTGAGGGCCTCCAGCTCGCACTGGAGCGGTTCGCAGCCGAGTGTAACGCAGCGGGAATGAGGATCAGCACCTCCAAATCTGAGGCCATGGTTCTCAGCCGGAAAAGGGTGGAGTGCCCACTCCGGGTCGGGGATGAGTTCCTGCCCCAAGTGGAGGAGTTCAAGTATCTCGGGGTCTTGTTCGCGAGTGATGGGAGAAGGGAGCTGGAGATCGACAGACGGATTGGGGCTGCGGCTG